GGATGAAGGACGTTCGATTTTTCCTTTGCACTGTTATTCCTCGCCCCCTGAATCTCGTCCCATTCGACCTTGAGTTGAACGCTGGGCGGATCACCTTTTGGGCAATTTTAACGCTGACCTAGTCTGTTGTCTCCGTGAGCACCTCGCAGTCCTGCAGGTCTGGGGGGACTCCGGCGGCCGAGCTGCGGGGACTCAGCCGCTGTCCACTCAGCGCCCACCCCTTCTCCCAGACGGTGTCTCTGCCCCGCTGGGTCCTGGGGACCCGAGTGCCGCCCATCGAGACCCTGCCGCGTGCCGGGCGCATGGCTGGCCCCTGCACTGCGTCCTGGCGCGGACACTGGGGTACTGAGGGTGTGCTAGGGCCTCCGGCCCCCCAGGAGGCAGTGTGTCACGCACCCCAGAATGGCGGGCCTCCCTCCTCCGCCCGACCCCAGCCTCTGGGTGAGAACTCCCGCGCCCCTGGTTCTGGATCTGGGTTCACGTGTCATCTGGGAAGGGGGACAGGCCGGGGGCGGCCCTCAGGAAAGCCACCGAGGAGGGGACATCTCTCTCCCAGCCCGTCAGGACCGCTGCTCTGGGGGAACTGGCCGCCCCGGGGTCGCAGCTGCCCCTGGTCCCTGCCTCAGTCGCCCAGCCTCTCCCCGTCCACACCCAGGCCCATGGCTTGGCTTCTCCTCTCCCTTGGAGCCCATGTCCGCGGCCGCCTCCCTCCAGGCCTGCGCTCGTCACTCGTCCGAGCCCGGGTGCCCACGGCCGCCCCGTCCACGCCTGCTGCTCTCGGGGTACTTGCTAAGACCCCTCGTCGCCTCTTCCAGTTCCCCAGCGCACGACTGGCCACACACTCCGGCAGCCCTGCTGGACGCCCACCCGACCCCGGGGAGGAGGGACCTGGGCCTGGAAGTGGTTCCATCAGGGGGGAGACGTGGCCGTGGCGGCGAGACGTGGCCGTGGCGGCGAGACGTGGTCGTGGCGGCACGACCGTCCCTGTTTGCCGACGTCGGGCCCTGGTGTCCCAGCCTCCTGAGGTTGGCGGTGTTTGTTCAGGGCTGGACGCCCGGGTGGCCTGGCTGTGGCCTCGGGCTGGGCCCTGGGAGCCCGTGGCCCCTCTGAGCGGTGCCGCCCGCCACGTGCCGCCCCTGGGAGTGAGCATCTCGTCCATTCGTGGGCACCGTGGCGAGAAGACACCATCACCACTCCCGTGCTGTGGGCCAGGAAGCTGATGTCGGGTCTGAGTGTGGACCCGAGGTCTCGGCCGTGACCGTCCTGTCGGGGCTCAGTGGTCTGCGCCCTCCGGGGGCCTTCGCAGCGGCCGCGGCACAGTGCGGTGGAGCCGCGTAAAACTAACTGCGAACCAGCCAGACGTCTGGTCCGGTGACCCTTCAGCGGGGAGGCCGTCCTCGGGGGCAAGGGGTCGGCGGCAGCCACAGAGCACAGGACCTGGCTCCCGTCCTGACTCTGCGCGTGGCTCTCCCGCAGGTGTGTGAGTTCTTGGCCCCAAGGACGTCCCCCCACTCCGAGCCCTGGCCTGTGTGAAGGGGTCTTTCCCGCTCTGTTTCACCCTTGGGCCGTGATGAACCCTAAAACCGACCGGCATTGGACAGCTCTCCCTTCAGGTGACAGCCAGAGGTCTGCCCAGACCGCCGCTGCGCCTCGCGGGGTGGCCGTCACGGGCGGACGTCACCTTAGCGCCCGCCTTCCCGAAGCGTTTTGAGCCCAAGGTTAAATGTTTAAGCAGAGAGTGTCCACGTGTTAAACATGCCGCGTGCAGTCCCGTGTTTACACGCTCTTCCTGTTTCTCCTGAGGAATCCGCAGTGTGACCACGCAGTTGGGTTGTTCCGGGGACGGGAGGGAGACCGACTCCAGCCAGGCGCCCGGCTGAGCTGGGAAGGCGCTGGGCGGGCGGAGCCCTGCCCCTCTGGCTCTGTTCTCTCCACGCTTGGCTCAGTGCTCGGGGGCACCCAGAGTCGGCCCCTCCCCCCAAGGCAGGGCGGATCGGATCAGGACGAGGTTGGAGGACCCTCCTTCCCAGGACATCGGGAAGTGCACGCGGCCGCCCAGTCCCACAGCTTTGCAAACCACTGTCCGGATGAGGGGTGTGTCTCGCGTGTCCCAGGAGAGAGGGGTCTCCGAGGCCGGGCCAGACGAGGTGCCCCTGGGTCACGCCGAGATGAGCAGGCCAGGGGCTGGTGTGGTTTTGTTCCTTTGCAGAACGTTTCTGAGCCCCGGCAGCCGGACGGTCTGGGTGGGTGGTGCACACGGGAGTCGTGCAGACCGTGCAGAGGCGTCCAGAGCAGGGTGAGCCCAGCGCCCCCTCCTCCGGGCTCCCACACGACAGGCCTCAGTCCCTCTGCCCAGGATCCCACGGTGTCATGAGATTAGTGCCCGGCGAAGAGATTGTCTGGGTTATTTTTATTTCTTTATTTTCTTTGTTGATTTGTAGACAGAGGGAGGAAGGGAGAGAGAAGCATCGGTGAGAGAACATGGACTGGCCGCCTCCCACACGCCCCCCACTGGGGATCGGCCCAGCCTGGGCCTGTGTCCTGACCGGGAATCGAACCGGCGACCTCCTGGTGCAGGGTTGAATGGTTTCTAAATAGAGTGACTCCTGGTGTGTACGTAGTGAGCAGCCAGTAAGCGCTGGTCCTCGTTCCGGCGGAATAACGAGGTTTCTTTATTTCTCTCTCACGGGTTTGGAAGGACGTGGCGCAGATGGGACGGGGTGTTTCAGTGCCGTGACCTGCAGCCCTGGGCCTGGCCGCAGACTCTCGCACCCGTGCTCACGGACGCCACGCTCCCCAGCGCGTCCCTGGAGGCGCGCACCTTGGGTTGGCAGCCTCCGCCCCGCGAGCTGAAGGGCGCGACCGCGAGGTTCCGAGGTTCCGTTTCTGAGGCAGAGGAGACACTTCCGGTTCGCGACTCGCTGAGCCGCGAGGTTGTGTTCAGTCGGCTGCAGTGGGGGGGCTGTTGCCTGTCAGTCACAGACTGTAGCAGCCGGGCCGGCCGGGGGCACCTGAGTCAGGTGGGTCCTCACTCGGGCTCCGCGCTGCGAGGTCCTTCGGCGGATGGAACTTGCTTCTCTCTTATACTGAGCACCCCGCTGGAGGGTCGGGGGACCGCAGGGCCCAGCATCTGAGCCCTCAGAGGACACCAGTCCTTCCCCCAGGAACGGCCCTTGTCTGGTGACAAATCATCACCTTCGTTTCCACCGCGTGTGAGCGATCGACGCGCAGGCTTCACCGGAACTTTCGAAAGTATTTGAGTTCTGCTGTGTAGAGACTGGTTCTGACAAACGGCCGTGGTTACCTCGAATTTTAAGCTTGGAGATAATTCTGCACGTTGCGACCCATTAGTCTTCTGTGTATGTCGGGGGTGGGGTGGAGATGTGTCTGTGGGGTGTGGGGGTGGGGTGTCTGTGGGGTGTGTGTGTCTGAGTGGGGTGTGTGTGGGGGTGTCTGTGGGGGGTGAGGGTGTGTCTGTGGGGTGTGTGTGGGGTGTGTGGGGTGTGTGTCTGTGGAGTGTGTGGGGGGGTGTGGGGGTGTGTCTGTGGGGTGTGTGGGGGTGTGTGTGTGTGGGTGTGCCTGTGGAGTGTGTGGGGGTGTGTGGGGTGTGTCTGTGGGGTGTGTGTCTGTGGGGTGTGTCTGTGGGGGGTGTGCCTGTGGGGTGTGTGGGGGTGTGTGTCTGTGGGGTGTGTGTCTGTGGGGGGGTGTCTGTGGGGGGTGGGGGGTGTGTGGGGTGTGTCTGTGGGGGGTGTGTAGGGTGTGTGTGGGGTGTGTCTGTGGGGGGTGGGGGGGTGTCTGTGGGGCGTATGTCTGTGGGGTGTATGTCTGTGGGGGTGTGTCTGTGGGGTGTGTGGGGTGTGTCTGTGGGGGGGTGTCTGTGGGGTGTGTGTAGGGTGTGTGTGGGGTGTGTCTGGGGGGTGGGTGTGTGTCTGTGGGGTGTGGGGTGTGTGTGTGGGGTGTGTCTGTGGGGGGTGGGGGGGTGTCTGTGGGGTGTGTGTCTGTGGGGTGTGTGTCTGGGGGGTGGGGGTGTGTCTGGGGTGTGTGTCTGTGGGGGTGTGTGTCTGGGGGGTTGGGGGAGTGTGGGGGTGTGTCTGTGGGGGGGGTGGGGGTGTGTCTGTGGGGGTGTGTCTGTGGGTGTGTGTTTGGCGGCAGCGGGCACAGCTCTCAGGATGGTGGAGTTGTGTCCCGGAGCCCAGGGGCCGGCGGCAGCGAGTTCCAGGCAGAGCTGAGCTGAGACCGTGCCGCCTACTCCCAGAAAGAGCGGACAGAGGTGTGGTGCCAGTCAGGTGACAGGCGCACATGGGTCACCCTGTCCACGTCCGTCGGTCTGTCCCCGCAGCGAGTTGCTTGGCAGCCGGGCTTCTCCGTCCCTGAGACGGGAGCGTGTCCGCGAGGCCCGTCTGGGTGGCTCCCCTGTTTGGAGTGAAGGCCCCGTGTTGACCCGCCGGCTTCCGTGGTGCTCAGTTCGCCTGAGCGGGTCTCCTGTGGGCGAGGCTGGTACCTGTGCCGGCGCCTGCCCCTTGCAATAGGTGCAGGGTCCCTGCGGCCCGCTGGTGTGCCCTGCCTCCCCCTGCCCCCCGATGTCTCCCCACACGGCGGGTGACCACCCAGCTGTGCTGGGGCGGTGGGGAGGGTGTCGGTGGCACCGTTCATGCCGGAACGAGGATTCTCGGTTGGGAAGCGGACGGACAGGTGTGTGGACGCCGGGGGCCCCGGGCGCAACATGGGAAGAGACACACTTCCAGGCCGGAGTCTGGGTGGAGGACACTCACCAGGCATCTGATGTCTCCGGGGAGTCTTTCTGGTCACTTCAGGGCCACAGGTGTCTAGACATGTTTGTGACCTGAACACAGGGCCGAGTTTCCGCGTGGGCCCTGGTTCCCCAGGGGCAGACACTTCTTACTGATCCGCTGGGTGGTGCCGAGTCCCCTGTGACGAAAGAGAATTTCTGCGGCCTGTTTCTGTCTGTGAATAAATCTGACCTCTCACCTTCCCTGCAGGGTGAAGAAACCAAGAGCCTGACCCTGGTCCTGCACCGCGACTCTGGCTCCCTTGGCTTCAACATCATCGGGGGCCGGCCGTGCGCGGTAGGTCCCGCTAACGGGGTTTCCTTCCGGGTGTGGCCCGTCCGTGGGGCAGGAGCCTCGGTGGCTTCCTTGGCTTCTGGAGTCGGAGACGCTGTTTGTGTCCGTCCAGCTCTCGGGGACCCCGTTTCGTTGTCTCTCACTGAGCAATGCGGAGGCTCGTCCACACGGCCTGGATTCGGGGTGATGTCGGCGTGGGGGCCGGAGCACAGGTGGCACGAGCCAGGTGCCCCCGTGTGGATGGCTGCTCCTCCCACAACCTGTTCCCTGCGGCAGGCGATGCTGCGATAGCACCTCGCCCGGCCCAGAGCTGCTCTGCGAACGGGCTCGGTCCTCTCGGACCCTGACGTGCCTCCCCAGTGAGTCTGGGGTGTGCCGACCCCCCGTCATCAGTCGGCATCTCCACGGCGTCTGCGCCAGAGGTCGTCGCGAGGAACCTCTCTCTGCTGGTCCATGAGACGCAGCTCACCCTGTAGAGCATGACCACGAGTGGACGGCACCCGGGTCCCACCCACAGGCTCCACCTCCACTCAGGCCTCACCCTGCTCCCGCCGCAGCCACGGACACGCCTCCCCCAGGGCTGGAGCCGCTCAGCCTGAGCCGGGGAACCAGCCTCCCCCCCCTGTGCTGCCTTCTGACCTCTTCCCGTGAGGCGCACGTTCTCGGTCCGTCTGGAAGGGGGCGTCCTTCCCAGAAGCTTCCGTGCACTTTCCCAGAGGGACCCCTGAGCCGGCAGCTGCAGCCTCAGGCATGTTCCCACGTGTCCGAGTTGACGGCCACTCACCTGACCGTGGGTGCGGAGCAGGTGCTGCGGGTGCGTCAGGGCGGACGTGGATCCCAGGTCCACTCCCTCTGGAGCTCGGGGCCCAGGTGCAGTCGGTGAGCAGTGACGTTCGAAGCGATCGAGCTGCGTCGTCCCGGGCAGGAGTCTCAGCTGTGGCTCGGCCCGTGCAGGGACCGTGGTGCACACGGGCGGGCGCCACCCAGCTTCGCGGCTGCGGAGACACAGGCGGAGCAGGGGGAGCACACGCTCCGGGGCCGTCGGGCGGGGAGCCGGCATCGGCTTCCAGGGGAGGTCTCAGCTGCACGAGCCCCTCGGGGAGGCAGCCTGTCCTCGCCAGCTGTGGACGCGCTGGATGGCGGCCCCTCCCGACACGAGGCTGTTTCGTCTGCAGATCAGTCAGAACACGCGCGTGTATTAATTACGTTCACCGTCTTTTATGGGCACGGTTTCTGGTGCCCCAAAACAGTGCCAGTGGGAACAACAAAGATGACTGATCACAGGTCCATGTCACATGTCACCAAGATGAAGACGTTTGAAATGTGGAGAGAATGACGAAGACGCGACACGGACGCGGGAAGAGTGGGTGCTGCTGGGAGAAGGGCCGATCCCCCAGCTCCACCCGGGGCTGCCGCCAGCGTCCGGCTTGTAAGAGGCCCGGTGTCCGGGCGGCTCAGTGGCCCACGGTGGCCTGCGTCGCGGAGGGAGCCCCTGCCCGAGGTCCGCGTGCCGGGGAGACGGACTCGGACCCCGAGTTGCCGGGAAACCTCTGAAGACGGTGAAGGGCGGGTCTCTGTCCCTCTCCAGCCAGCTTCTTCGGTTTGTTCTGTTGCTGATCAAAGAACATGTTTCAGGTCATCTTTTTCCTTTAAAAAAGTAATTTAAGTGCAAATCAGCCCGGACTCTGTCGTGTTCCCGAACGTTCTTCGTTTGTGGGAGTTTTTGCAGGAACCTCATGCAGGTCCCCGGAGGAAAACGTTGAAATGTGTCCTGATTTGTGAAACTGCACAGTGAAACCTCGTGAGCTTCACACGGTTGCCTGGAAACCGGCAGGTCACTGAGCGCGAGAAGCCACGGAGGGCGTCCCCGGAGCTCAGACTCCGCGCGGCTGGCGTGTCCTGAGGACCCGCTGTCCGGCGCCCGGCGGGCCTGCCCTGAGCCGGGACCGAGGCTGACGGAGCGTCCTTGGCGTGCAGAGAGCGCGCAGCGAGCCCGGCGCCCTTCACGGTTCTCACCCGAAGCAGCAGGGGCTGGTGGTCGGAGCCCCCCCCTCGGCCTCCGGCCCGTCGCGGTCAGGAGCTGACTTCAAACGTGTTAGGAGAAGAGTCCACAAAGGTTCGAGAGATGTCTGTCTTGTTGTTTGGTTCATCCTCACCCAAGGGTGTTGTTTTTCACTGATTTTTAGAGAGAGAGGTCGGAAGGGAGGGAAGGAGGGAGAGAGAAACGTCTACCGGCTGCCTCCGCACGGCCCTGACCCGGGCCAGGGCATCAAACCCGCAGCCCAGGTACCTGCCCCCGGCCGGAATCGGTCCCGCTGAGCCCAGCCGGCCAGGGCAGACACCTCTTTGCAAAGAAAAGTCCAGCGATCGGGTGGAGTCTGATCTGTGTTTTCTCTGATCTTTCTGCGCTCGGCCCCCGCGCGGTCTCGATGGACCTAGACAGGGTCCCCGCCCTCTGGTCCTTGCGAGCTCCCTGTGCTCCCGGAGGAGAGTCACGGCGCTGGTGCAGCTAAGTGTGCGGGAGCCAGGCCCCCGGCCCGCCGAGGACCCGGGGGGCACATGGGGTGAGCACGGCTCCCCTTGCTGTGTCCCCATCCCCTGGGGTCGCTCGCGCTCGTCGCTGAATCCCGTGTCCCCTGAGACGCGCAGTTTCTCTGAGGAATGTCCCACTGCCCAAGGGGGTCTTCTGGGTCCATCACGTTTCGATACTTTCTCGCTGGAGCAGGATGAGGGGGTGACCGGCCTCCGTTTGAAACTGGCCCCGTAGCTGTGTGGCCTCGGGTAAGGCGCTCACCCTCTCTGGCTCGGGGTTTTCATTTGTGAAATGAATGATAATGGCCCTTCCCACTTGGTCTCCGTGAGCACAGAGTGGGGGGCTGGGAGCCCTCTGCAGACCAGGCACCCCCTTACTCACACCCGAGATCACAGGTAGGGAGCTGCCTGCTCACCGGGGCAGGTGCGTGGGTGAGGTGAACTCAGGGGAGGCAGGGGTCCCTGGGAGCTCCGGCCGCGGGCAGCTGGCCTGCAGGGTGGGGCAGGAGGTCGGGGGACCACCGGTCCTGCCAGCACCCCACCCCGGTGACCTTCCCCCCCAGAGGAGTCGACAGCACTGAGGGGCATCAGAGGGCTGTGTCTTGGGGGGTGAGTGTTGGGGGACAGGCTCCTTCAGGCCGTGATGCTGTGTCCGGGGGGGTGCGTAGTGACCCCATAGTTTCTGGGTGGCACTCGAGTGGGTCCGTTGAGCCGTGTTCAAAGCCACTTCTCCCCCCAAAGAACACGAGGCTTCGTTGCCCTTTAACGAGGAAAACGTGAGCTCACAGTTGTTCTTTAGCAAACGGACCAGGTGTTGGTAGCGATGACCACTGGGGTAGAGCCAGGCGGGCAGCCCATCTCCGAGGCGGAGGGGCGTCTGCGAACCTCCTGAGCCTCAGAGGGTTTTCTTTGGAAACAAGGTGAACTCCAGCCCGTCTGCTCAGGGCGGCACGCGGCGCCGGGCTGGGCGCCCAGCTCGGCCCTGGGACTCGGCCCTGCGCCCGCCCGAGGCCTTCTGTGCGCTCCCGAGAGCATTGTGATTTCGAAGAAAGGAAGGCGTGTGAGCAGGGGGGGCTCCCTGTCCCGGGGCCTGTCGGCCGGACTGGGGCAGGTCAGGGTTCGAGGAGCGACGCGGAAGCTCTGGGCGGAGGAGACGGGCTCTCCCGACGCCACCAGAACAGAAACGAACACCCGTGTCCACCGTCCGGCGCTCAGGCCCTGACTCAGTCACCAGCATCATCAGTAGCTGCCGAGCTGTCCTGCGCAAGAGTCTGTGCCGTGCGGCTGGGGACGTGCGTCTCTGAGCCGCCCTGCGAGGGCTGGAGAGCAGAAGTGATCAAAGGTCCGAGCCCGGAGCCCGGACGCCGCCAGGGCCGGGGGAGCCCCAGCAAATTCCAGCAGATAGGTCAGCGCGCAGCAGGAAGCCCAGGCCGGGTGGTTCACTTGGTTGCGGCGGCGTCCTGTACACTGAAAGGTCGTGGTTCACCCCTGGCCAGAGGTCAGGGGTCAGGGGTCAGGGCAGACACCCAGGGTGCCGGTTTGCTCCCAGGTCGGGGCACCTACAGGAGGCGCCCGATCAGTGTTCCCAGTTTGCGTCAATGTTTCTGTCTCCCCCCTCAGTGAGGATCGAATTTTTACAAAATGCTGGAGGAAGGTGTTTCGCAGCCTGTCTCCTGCGCCACTGGGGGGGCAGCGCCCCCCGTCCGTGTGGGGTGCCGGGGGACAGGGGCGTCGGGAAGCTCTCGGTGTTTGAGTGGGGTGAAGGCGGCGGCAGGGGCGGGCACCCCGTGGGGCCGCAGGCTGTAGGACTGGGGCCGGACGCAGGCAGTCACGTGTGTTTTCAACCCACAGGACAACCAGGACGGATCGTCCAGCGAAGGCATCTTCGTGTCCAGGATAGTGGACACTGGGCCCGCGGCCAAGGACGGAGGCCTGCAGATCCACGACCGGATAGTGGAGGTACGTGGACGCCCCGGGGGTGCTCGGGCCTCGCGGGGGCTGGGCGGCTGCACAGTCGTCCAGCTGTGGACGCAGGGGGCGCGCCGCGTGGTGTGGGTCTGTGCGTGTGGCTCGCAGAGGTGCCGGACGCGAGGGTGTGGCCCTGTGCCGCGGTGAGTGGCGTCCTTGGTGCGTGTTGTGACTTCGCGCTGTCCCCGGGACACAGCTGTGTCCGGGCCGAGTCACCGTGACTCCCGGGTCACCGCACGTGTGTCTCAGGTCCCAGCCTCTCCTGAGCTTGTCTTCGCTCTGGGCTGTGGCCGCAGGGGCTGGTGGTCGGGAACCGTGGCCGGGGGTGGGTGTCCCGCACTCTGGACGTGTCTCGTGTCCCGGGACGTCCGCGCTGCTGGGGGAGCGGACACGCTCGCCCCCCACCATTCAGGCTCTTGTTGCCAAGGTTGATGCAAGTGACGGTTTTTCTGGTGTGTCCCACCCTTTGGACGACCCTTTTCACGGGCGAACACCTGGGCTACATTCGTGGGCGCTGCTGTGGGAAATGGGCTGTGGGTCCCGGTGCCGTTGGACCCAGGAGGCTCTCACGTGAGGCGGGAACCAGGAAGCAGCGCAGATCCGCCAGGTCCGTGTTCGGCACACAGTTGGGGCGCCCGTGCTTCTCGGGGGTTCCCTGGCCCGTTCCCACAGCCTGGGCTGAACCGTGAGCCGAGCGTGTGACGGCCGCGTGGGGCTGGCTCTCGGCTCCCTCAGGCGGGTCCCGGCGGGCGGCGCCCTGCGTGGTCCCGAGACAGCGCGTCTCAGGAGGAGACAGCAGGTGGGGCTGTGGCCCAGGTGTGACGAGGAGACTTGGCTCCATGTCCAGGACACGTTACGTGGTCACATCCTGTGCTTCGTGAGGTCTCACACGTGGGGCCCTCTGTGCCAGGATTTGGGTCCCTTTATGTGCTCAGGTGAGCGCCTGTGGGTCCTACTGTCTTGTTACCCAGAGGACACGGTTCTGAGGCTGTTCACAGAGATCAGTCCGGCTCCCTTGCCAGGGGCTGCGGCGCGGCCAGCCCTGGGCAGCGTTTCCTCCGGGCAAAGTGACGCCTTTGAACGATCGGCGCGGTTTCGGGTTGGCCAGCTCCCCGGAACAGTGTGTGAAATACCCTTCCTGGGGGGTGCAGTGGGGTTCCCCGAGTCCTCAGCACGGCCATCCCGGGAGGACCCAGGCTCTGTCCTGTCCGCGCGTTGCTGTCTCCTGTGAAACGTGGACGCCCAGCGTCTGCTGTGCGGCTGGCGTGACCAGAACCCGTGCCCGTGTGAGGGGCTGGCACCTGGCCCGGAACGCAAGGTGGCGCTGGTTCTGCGGGGCCGCCCGCGACCCAGTTCCTGCCTGAGTTACAGGTCACTGTTGTCACCTTTATTTATTTGTCCACTTTTAACTCCTCAGCCGAGGATGTTTTTCTGCTTATTATCAGACAGAGTAGGAAGGAGACTGGGCGGAGGGAGACACCAGCTGGCTGCCTCCCGCACGACCCGACCGGGGCCGGGGATGAACCGCATCCGAGGTCTGTGCCCTCGACCAGAATCGAACCCGCGACTCACTGGTCCACGGGCCGACGCCCTAACTGCTGAGCAAACCAGCCGGGGCTCGACTTCATTTCAAACCTGGTGACCCTTTGAGTCTGACCGAGGAGGGGCTGTGGCGTCTGAGGCCGAATGAGACACGGTAGCTGGTCCCCAGGGACGACTCTGAGGTCATGTCTCCGTGTGAAGGTCACGGTGACGCCGGCGGGTGCGCAGACCTGCGTGTGCGGTCGGGGGCTTTCGCTCCCCGTCGGAGGCCAGGAGGGGACCTTCTGTTCTGTGTTCACTCAGGAAGGTCACATTGGACTTGTCTTCAGGGTGAGGTTTGCACATCTTGAGATGAATGCAGCACAATGTGCAGAGACGGAAAACACCCTCCCGGTGAAGACGGGAGCGGGCGCCCGGGGTGACCCACAGCATTGTTGGCGGAGCCGTGTGTGGGCCTGGCCCGGGCAGCTGCTCTCGGCCCCCAGGCGGGACCCCGCGGGGCTCAGGTCTCCACACTCCTCTGAACCCCGGCTTCCAGAGGGGTTCGCCCTCCGGGAAACAGGACTCTGAGGGGGCTCGGTGCCGTCACGCGGCCCCAACACGCTGTCCCCTTTGACATGTCGGGTCCCAGCTCACAGCCGGCTGAGGGCACAGGGACAGGAGGACGCGGGGTCGAGGGTGTGGAGCAGGGACCCCGTCCATCCACGCTCCTCCCCTGTCTCTCCCTCCCTCCCTCTAACATCAGTGAAGAAAAATAATTAAAAAAACAAAACAAAAAAGAAAACACACGTCGTCCTCTTTACCGAAAGCTCGAAACTTCTCGGCAGCATCAGTGGGGCAGGGGCTCCGCTCTCCTTGGGGATTGAGGGGAAGTTTGAGAACTGGGGGTGCGGCCCGCTTCCCCCTTCCCCTGTGAGGCCGGTGACAGAGCTAAGTGTCCGTTTGTGCGCGGCGTCCGGCACTGGAGCGGGAGGGACGGTGGTCCTAGCAGGGCAGGAAGCGCCGTTTGCCGGGGTCCCTTTCGGGGAAGTGTGACCTTGACCTGGGCGGTGGGTGCGTTCGAGTGCCCACTGCCTTTGACCTCTGTGTTTTACCAAAGGGGACTTTGTAGGGTGCTCTGCTCAGAGCGGTGAGCACACCCCTGCCCGGTGACGCGGGCACAGGACTGCAGCTGCGTGGGGTCCGCCAGCTGTCTCGGGGGAATAGCAGGGCCTTGGGCAGTGAGTCCCCGGGGCGTGGTGGGTGGGGGCTCAGGAGCAAGTGAGAAAACAGAGGAGTAGAGAGGACGCCCCGTTGTGCTGTGTTTAAGGCACACGAGAGACGCGGAAGGAAGTCAGGTGCCCGAGTCTCGAGGTGCCGCTCCGGGTCTTACAGGCCGACTGTGGCCGGGGTGCATCTGACTCCAGGCCTCGGGCCCGCGAGGACCCTTCTGCCTGTGGCAGTGGAGCTGACCCCGGGGCCTGGGTCCCCCCGCCGTGCGCTCGCCGCCCCTGCGGAGGTTCGGGGAGTGTTTCTCATGGGTCCCCTGCCTCTGCCTCTGGGCGGCTGGGGTCCGGCCCTGCTGCAGGACGTCTCGGCAGCGCGCTCGGGGCAGCCAACCCGGAAGGCCTGTCCCCACTCCTGGTCCAGCAGCTGTTTCGCCACAGAACTCACCTCTCTCGGGAAACAGCTTCTTCGCCAAGTCGTCAGGGAAGAGCTGCCCGTGGCCCCGTGCGGGGCCTCTCTGGACGGGGACGGGGGGCCTCCAGCAGCCCGGGGACGGGGAGCAGGGAGATGTGCTTCGGGCCTGTCTCAGCAGAGAGACTGTCACCTCTCCTGGGACCCCTCTCCGCCAGGGGCTGACGGGGCGAATGTCCCCACAGTCCCGGGAAGCGAAAAGGGCATGAACGTTAACGTTTGTGGAGAAGTCAGAGGTTTCCTGATGGATGTTTCCGGACCCCTGTCCTGTAGCGAGCGCTGGGAGAGTGTGAGCCGAGTCCTGCGCGGGGAGGGCGGGACTGGCCCGAGCTGCCCCGTCGCCGTGTCGCCCTCACACACCGGAGCCGACGGGAAGCGGAGCTGTCTGAGCCGGGCATTTGCTCGTGTGTTTACTGCCAGGCACTGTTGTCTCCGGAAGAGGGGGCAGCTTGGGCCCCCAGAAGGTTTATCGCCGATGTACGAGCCTGTGGTCCACACCCCGGCTGGGGCCGCCCCATCCGCGGGGCTTTCGATTGGCTTCAGGGAGGACGCGGACGTTCAGGAGTTGATTCCCCAGCTCCGGGCAGGGTGCGGAGGAGCTGGTTCGCGGGGTGTAAGCGTCGGCCCGCCCGGAGCCAGGGACTGTCCCTCCGCCTGAGTGAGCGGGTTCTGGAGCCGACTCCCCCCCCCCGTTCGCCCACTGGGGGGTCAGGGTGCCCTACAGCAGCAGGAGGAGGAGAAAGCAGGGGGCTCTGACCCTGCGTGCTGTGTCGCGGGCCTCGAGCACGTTCCCCACAGATGCACCCCCTCTCTGTGAGCCCCCTTTGTTTGTAGCTCATCCTCCCTCCTGGCGGGATCTGGGGTCTCCTTGTTCTCTGAAATGGGGGTAATTACAGCAGTTACTGAGGCTTCCTTAGGGTCAGGAGAAGTCAGGGGAGCCGTCAGGAAAAGGACTGAGTTCAAAGGTCGGGGGCGTCGGACGGGGTGCACACCCTTTCTGCAAAGGGCCCTGTGGGCCGTGCCCCCTGCCTGCCTCTGCTGTCCAGGGGGCCACTGTACCCGCACAGGAGGGAGCGGGCGGCCCCAGGGACACTGTTACCACATGGGCTCTGGGCGGGTCCGGCCCCAGGGTGCGGGAGGCTGCGGGGATGGGCCCACCCTGGGCTGGGCCGTCCTGTGCCGAGTGTGGCCAGAAGGCAGGGCAGGAAGGAATCCCCAAATCCTGAGGAGGGGCCAAGGAGCAGGCTGACCAGAGGCTGCCCCCCAAGGAAGGAGCTGGGGACCGAGCTTGATGCCACCCCCGAACCTGGAGCCTGTTGACAGAGGCGGCCAGAGGCCAGCAGAGCTGGGGAGCTCGCGGACCTGCAGTGTCCCCAGGAACACAGAGCAGGGTGGACGGGAGGAGGCCCCCAGGACAGGTCGTGGGATGGCCACGAGCCGGTTCCCCGAGCCCCCGAGTCGGCGGTCACCGAGTCCTCGTGAGCACAGGGGTGTCCTGTGTCCTCCTCACCTGCGGCTTGAGGACCAGAGACCCTGCCCGGGCCGTCGGGCTCCCGGCGGACCTTCCGTGTGCGGCGGGCTCTGAACTGGGCCCGAAGGCCGGAGCTCCGTTTGTGAGAACGAGTGAATGAAAATCATGCTTCGTGAAAGGATCCTCACCCCTCGTGAGAGGCGACTCCGCGGGAGGAAAGTGCTTGCTCATCACACCGTGACGTGGCCCGTGGGGGTCGCGGTGACCGCGGTCCACATGCGGAGCGTCGAAACGAGAGTCG